TCCACAAGCTTACCACTACATATACATCTTATACGCGAGTATTATAGCCCATACTGCCTTACCCTTCTATTATGCAGAAATATATATACGACTACTAATGAAGCTAGAGCATGCAGCCTCCGGCCTCATCTTTAGTGCCATAGAGTCACTGAAGCCAATGATACTCAATTGTCAGTTTGTTAGCACCGGAATTCAAAGAACTTCATCTCGATGTGAGAATGTCACTCCGCAAGGATCCTATTATTCAAAGATATCGATATCAACTCTGTGCTTCCCGGTAGCCAGTTGACAAACTAGCCAATCACACGTCTACTCGCTAGTTAGTGAATCGGTCCATAAAATTGAAGATCTACCAGTTCAAGGGATTGATCGAGGATGTATATCTTCAAATAAAAGACAAGGTTCTTGTCCGGCTAGCTTTCGCCAGCCGCTCATGATACCGGAGAACTATAATACGGTTCTTCATGCTAGGAATATTCCCTTCCACCGCTCTATTAGAAAACATTTTATCAACTATCCAAGTTGTGCGTCGCCCCTGGCGAGGTTTGAAAATGGAAGCAGTCAAGCCATGACCGACTACACTACTCGTGTATTAGTTAGAAGGTCGGGGTTCTTTGTGGGGGTTTGGCTGCAGCGACTTCCAACCTTTTAATTAAGGCGCCAATATACGTACAACGCAACCTTAAAAGAAAGAAATTTCTGAATTAAGGGCAGGGGTGGCTTGTACCTCACCTTTAATGCATCATCGAATCATCAACCACAACCGTGAACTATCCGTTGCAACTCTTACCATGCCTGGGGATAGATTGTGAAGATTTGGTCATGACGAGTCTTGTACCATATAATAGCCCGCGTCGCCATGAGGAAGTATCCATTCTTTTTGACACGTTTATAGCATCGAATAGGTGGGCCCAAAGATCTCCCGGGAAGTGCCCGGGTGTCAGTCTGCTACTCAGTCATAACAGTTGCAGCAGATCCTCTGCCTGGGCTGATCAGCTAATAGGATACTTTATCTATGATATAAATCTATTTCTTGTAATACTGATGAAGACGAACCGCGCCAGAGGACCACACTGGCTGTATATGACCTGGTCAGTGGGGTTTCGGGTATATACGCATGCACCATTTCTCTATATTGTACAAAGTTTCTTGGGGATGCTATACGTAGATATACAATCGAGTTTTAATTGGTTGTGCGTAGATACCAGAAGAACATACCGAGTGATAACCTGTGATGTAGGTTTGCGTTGTGGTTCACACTCCTAACAAACAATGATCTCAGGTATGATTAGGACAAACATCCGGCCCTTGATCGGAATCTATGGAAAACTAGCACTAACGTGGAAATATAAGCTCAACCATGAGTCGATAAGTATGTATCTCTGTCAAATTGGCGCGTTTCTAGAATATTAGTAAGACAAGCAGGAATTAGATCAAGTCGCGAAGATTCTAATCCGTAATTAAAGGTGCGCGGAGGCTAAATAGTTGTTTTCACCATAGGTTTTTGACTTGTAATGCTGGAATCACGAGGATTAGTTCGACCGAGTGATAGTATGTGATTAAACCCTAGCCCTCACCTATGAGCCACTTTTATATTCAAAAGTTCTGTCACTCCTGGTTGCATGAATTATATATATTCTAGATACATTACAGATCATAATAATTCATATTGTTATCCCGCCTTGTTTAGAGAGCTAGGTGGTGTAGTATATACAGTGCTGTTTAAGCCAAGCCTTATCCTGCTCCGGCTGAACGAAGAATTCAACACAAAGTCCCAAGATACTCGGAAAATCTTTTCTCGCTAATCGTAAATTCATGACGTTTCCGAACACGACTACTATTGCATACCATACAAAAAAGCGCCAAATCCACCTTTTTGTATGTCATGCAATATTGGTCGTGTTTGGAAACGCTATGAAATTACGAGTATATATAGAATCAAATTTCAGTTATACTTTCTCTTGAGTTATACCTTTCCTTGAGTACTGAAGTTGTTCATGTATATCATGTACGACCACAGTACTTGGCATGCAGATCTGTGCCATCTCCATTACCGGGAGCTTAATGTATGGACAGGTTCTGATCAGATGTGACAAGAGTATGTATATGTTGGAATTCTCGCATCGATCTGGAGTATGATTGCGATTCCCCGCGCCCTGGGTTGCTGCCTCGACTAAGTGGTATTACCCTATGGCATGGACCATATTGCTAGCCAGAAAAAGCAGAAATACAGATACAAATATAGAGTTTAAGTAGCACATGTTGAATTCTCATTCATCAGAGTGACTGTACACTGGCTGTTATCGTGCGTCAAATTGGAACAAGTCCCGGATGCATATTGTGTGTTGAGACATAGGCTGAACTTCGCATTTATTGAACTGTTCCCGATCGAAAAAAAGGAGTTTAAAAAGAAGCGGGTCAAATAACTATTGCACCTTGAGGTCAGCCAGTACTAGTGCCATGTACAGTAAAAAGACGAGGAGCAATTGGTGGAGTCAGATTTCCTGACAAGATGTGATAATTGAGATCACCTAGGTTGGTAAAGAGGTTATTCCGATGCATCAGCTTTCTCAGGTCAGAAGATTTGATATTCTATTACTCTTGGTATACTCTACTCTATTTTGAGAAGTCAATGTAGCCTTGGATTCACTGATTAAGGCGTGTCTTATTCAAAACACAACTCATAATATTCAGTGAGTGGATGATTCATTTAGCGTGACAGCCTTCTGTTTCAAGAATACTAGAGTAATACCGATATGCACATATCCCAATACTCGGATCCTTTGGTATGTCGACAGTTTGCAGCCCTGGTCAAGTTCTCAAATTAGGAGTGCCCGCATAAAGACTGTATGCAAACTACAAGTTTGTTACACTTGTGGGGTTACCTATCATCGGCTGTGATAGTGATTAGGAGCGAGTTCTATTTGTTGGTGGATCTTGTATAATTGTAGGAAAATCTGTTGACCAAAGAAGGTAATATCTAGTATCGCTTACAAGGCCGCCCGAAAAAGGCGTGGCTTGACGGTGGGGTGCATCGAAAGCTTGGCGAATCCTAGCATATGTGTTTCTGAGTTAGTAAAGGGCGAAATACGCAAATTAAAATGGAGCGTAAAGCCTTCACAGATACAATGGTCGATATGATCATTACCCCTGCTTACTAAACCTCGAGCACTGTCAAGTATCTACCTCGAGTGGCCAGCTTAATATATTATGAGCCCCTTGCAATGTGTTGTCTGAAGGACAGCGAGGTGCCTCACTTTGTAGGCCATACTGCCAGTGGCAGCGCTGTTATCATTTGCAGTCTGACTACATTACGATGGAATCCTGTCGGATGTACATGTAGAGTCTGGGGTTAGAAGAAGCCGGAAGAATATATTAATGCTGTATGAAGACTTGAAGGAATCAAAACAAGAGCGCTCCGGGGGGCAAGATCATGGGAAAGCCCGGACTGGGAAATGTTTGGTCTTTAGGATCAAGCCGGGTACTACATGTAAGTATGAATATGAAGGGGGTGGAGCGAACATACATACATTTATGCACCTTGAGCCGATACGACCGCTCATCACTCGACATCATCAAGCAAGTATCAATTGTTCAAGACCATCCTTACATTTGGAAACCCTTTCCATAATCTCGACACATGCACAACTGACTTAACGTTTTAGACCGGGTACCGTGTCAGACCTAGAAGAGTGTCAATCCCACACAAATTTGTATGGGGGTTTCCACGGTGAAGGCCACCTCCACCACCACTCGAGACACTTACTACCAAATTTTTAAGAAATGAATTTCATTTAAAAATACATACATTTGAATAGTTTCCGGATTAACTATCCTCTATTATGGTGATTGTAGAGTCTTCGTTTTTCGAAGGCTTTATTTCTAGTTTCAGTGCCGTTGCCATGCGACACACTTCTAGGTCTGACACAGTACTGGGTCGAAAACGTTATCCCCGTGAACCATGCCCCGTAGATCTGGCCCGATAGAGGCCCTCCAACGACCACACCTTAGCCACCACAGCTTACGATCATTCAAACCTCACACTTCAAATCATGTTTGAAACCTTTCTTTTCCATCTATTCAAGCGAGAGAGAGAGAAAAAACAGAGTGCATAATCAGACACAAAAAAAAGGAACAAAAACAAAAAAAGAAATACACATCACCCACGCTCACCAAACCCTCACAGACCAATCCATCCAGAGAGGGTTTAAATTTTTAGGATCTTCTCCCCTCAAAGCAGCAGCAGCAGCAGCATATCCCCAACAAACTTACTTAGTACCCGGCCCACGTTAAGGAGACCTATTCTTACCAGACCGGGCCAGAAAAAACCAACGCGGGGAAAAGATTACACGTATACTAGACATACTGTACCCTTACCTACCAAGGAAGGGGCCTGAGGGAGAATGTTCCTGGAACAAAATAAAATCATATCAAACAAGCAGAAAAATGAAATAAAGAACGATAGAAATACAAACCATAATTTTTCGTCCTTCCGACACCTCCAAGACATTGACCAGGAGTGCGTGAAGAAAAAGAGAGTGATAGGAAATAGGACATTATTTTGACAAGAAAACCACATGGAAGAACGGAAAGTATGAAAGCACAAAGAAGAAGAAGCTGATACAATACAAGCGCGCACGAAACTGACTATATCTGGACTCACCCAACCAGTCATGCTTTCCATGGACCGGCTTCGCTCCACCCGCAGTTCTGCTTGTTGCCTATGTGATTTGCGGGGGGGGGGGGGGAAAGAAGAAAAAACTTTCCATTTCATTCCGGAGTGTTACCAAATGAGTGATACAAATGCTGTTTTTGTTTTTTTGAAGACATTGATGAGTTGTTACCCGTGATAGATGAAGATGGCGAAAGTAATAGGTGATTGTTGAAGTGGACTTTTGACGGTAGTTGGGGAAAAAAAAAAAGGATTGGCAGATGACGCATGGTGAGTTATTCCTTTACCTTCCTTCAAAGAGTTTAGAGGTTCAGGTTGGTCAATCACACTACTGATACCTTCTCCTGTGTCTATCGCCGCTTCCATACCCTCCATCACCGGCGCCGTCGTAGGCGCGCTTTCTCGAATGGCCGTCGTCGTAACCGCCCCTATCACCGTGTGAACCTCTATCACCATGAGATCCTCTATCACCGTGGGAGCCCCTGTCGCCATGACCACCTCGGTGGTCATCTCTGTGTCCACCAAACCTGCCTCCGCCAGCGTCGCGGTCACCTCCATACCTGTCGCCGCCTCTGCTGCCACCATCACGGTCATAGCCACCGCTACGGCCACCACGGTCGTTACCAGCACTGCGATCATACCCACCGGATCCTTGATACCCACCGCTACCTCTGTGGTCACTGCCACCATACCCACCGCCTCCACCGCCTCCCCTACGTCCTCCAGGCCCAGTTGGTGCATTTGGTGGGGCCTCGGCTCCACCAGGATATCCGCCGCCTCCGCCTCCGCTGTAGCCATTCTGACCACCTCTATCGCCGCCTTGGAAACCGATACCGCCTCGGGGGCCACGACCGCCTCCGATCTCGAATCTGTTGCCTCCGGTGAACCCACCTCCTCCACGACCACCCTGGAATCCTCCACGGAAGTTACCACCTCCGCCACCTCTAAAGCCACGGCCTCCGAAGCCGCCTGGTCCGCCTGGTCCACGGGGTCCGTCACCACCAAAGCCGGAGGGACCTGTGGGGCGCGTTACAGGAATTTTGGTGTATCCACGGCCGCCGAGACCGCCACCAAGGCGCTTTGGCTTCCATCCCTTGACAGTACGGCCGCGTTCGACATCGACGAGGACACGGCGATCCTTGATACGTATTCCATCGGTTTCTTTGTAAGCAGCTGTAAGGAGCAAGAAAGAAGAGAAAATCGTTCAAACCCGTGTCAGTTTATTTCTTATTTCATACTTTCCTTTTCTTGTACCACTCCTTTTGTGAGAAGGAGCTTTTGCTCGAGTGGGGTTGGTGATATAAAATTCAGATGGTGAGGGAAAGAGGAGTAGATAAGTCAAAACACGACACGACACTGAAACGGCGGCGCAGCTATGTTTTTACTTTTCACGTCCGGGGGACTAACATGCGAATTGCGGCAGGGGAGGGGAGATATAAAATGGATAGGGGGAGTCTTCGGTTTCAATACCCTTCATGTCCTTCTCACGTTCATATACAATAAACGCATACCCTCTGTGCTTGCCTGTATCTTTGTCGTGCACAATACGTACCTGCATCATGAAAAGAAATGTCAGCGGGTGATCATTACCAGGAAGAAATAATGGTAGGTTGGGGGGGGGGGGGGGGGAATTCTTATCTCACCCTCTCGATGGGACCAAAGCGTCCAAATTCGCGCTCAAGATCGTTTTCCTTGACTTCGTAACTCAATCTAGACACAAATAAGGTCTTGTAAGGATCACCTCTGACAAGCGGGTCATGTTCTGGGTCGTCTATTAACACTTATATTAGCCAACCGTGTCCTTTACGGATTATCCCATTTGTATAGATGTGCACATACAAGCATCAAGCCCTTCCTTTGTTTTTTTCTCCAAGGCCGCTTTTTTCTCTTCTCTCAGTCGGTCCCGTCGTTGCATCCAGCTCTCGGTTGGAACATAGTTTGGATCCGGTTTCTTGAGCTCTTCAAGAAACGCCGCAACGCCACTGATCGGAGCGGTTCTGCGCTTCTCTGGAGCATAATCGCAGTGGGGGAGATAACGGAGAGGTGGTCGAGGTGCAAAGAGCACCAAAAGGTTTGCTGGGAGTTTATCTGTCATTGTTGTGTCAAAAGGGGTGTGAACTTTTTGCGCGATCTAACGAGGCGATGAGAATGAGGGTAAGGTGCGCGACTAAAGTAGGCGTCTCGTGTGTCGGCGTTGATTTGTTGAAAATGGAATGGAATGATGTTGAAGCAACAATGACGATAGGATGAAATGTATTCTTCCCTGAAGATGGAGGTTGGTTGACGCGCACACAGGCCCTTTGTTTCCGGCGATTCGAGTTGGGAGATGTTGACCCCCTGATGGATGTTTCAGTTGTCGATTGGCGAACAAAACAAGGCCTTTGTCAGAGTTTGTGTGGTGGCAACGTTACACACCCCACTCCACTGTCAGCAGATAAGAGGATTGTCGGCGATAATCTTGTGGCACATTATGCACGTGATCGCGCAATGAGTCATCAGCCACTAAACGCGTTTTCTTGAGCCGCCCGGGGAATCACTTAAGCTGGCACCCCTCAACGCGGGCCCAAGTCGCGTTTCCTCTCTCTCAGCTCCTTGCCACGCACTACACACTCACTACAGCACAACCTCCCACCCAGAAGCATTCGTTTTTGATCGATTACAAAAACCAACTATCTTCACCGCCTGCAATCGTAAACATGTCTGGAGAAGGTCAAGAGGAACAGTTCGACGACAATGCTTCTCAGTTTGGTGGACCTGGTGCTCCCACGCCGCTTGCATCTCTAGAGGTATGAAACGCCGCCCTCCTCAACTGTCTTGGAAACAGAGCTGATTTTGTCCAGGGTAATGGTATCTCCGCAAGAGATATCAAGGCCGTTGTCGAGGCGGGATACAACACTGTCGAGTCGGTGGCGTACACGTTAGTTCACTTCTTCCCAGAGCCAATATATACCAAAATGCTAAAAATGTCATCAATAGACCCAAGAGGCAGCTTCTCACGATCAAGGGTATTTCAGAAGCAAAGGCAGACAAACTTATCGCCGAAGGTACATTTCCAACCTAGAATTAATATTCGCTGAAAGCGAAAAAAAATACTGACAAATCCCGTAGCCTCCCGTCTTGTACCCATGGGCTTCACCACAGCCACAGAAATGCACCAACGTCGCTCTGAACTAATTTCAGTAACGACCGGTTCAAAACAACTTGACACGCTCTTAGCCGGAGGAATTGAAACTGGATCTATCACAGAGGTGTTCGGCGAGTTCAGAACGGGAAAGTCGCAGTTATGCCATACCCTTGCTGTGACCTGTCAGCTGCCCTTTGATATGGGCGGTGGAGAGGGTAAATGTCTCTATATTGACACTGAGGGAACCTTTCGTCCTGTCCGCCTCCTTGCGGTTGCGAATCGTTATGGTCTCAACGGGGAAGAGGTGTTAGATAACGTTGCATACGCACGTGCGTATAACAGCGACCACCAGTTGCAGCTGCTTAACCAGGCTGCAGCCATGATGACTGAAACGCGATTCTCTCTCCTTATTGTCGATTCTGCGACTTCGTTGTACCGAACGGACTTTGCGGGTCGTGGAGAGCTTGCGGCGCGACAAACGCATCTTGCAAAGTTTATGCGCACGTTACAGCGCCTGGCGGACGAGTTTGGAATCGCTGTTGTCATCACGAATCAAGTTGTCGCTCAAGTGGATGGTGGGGCCGCCATGTTTAACCCAGACCCCAAAAAGCCGATAGGAGGGAACATCATTGCACATGCTTCCACTACTAGATTGTTTTTGAAGAAAGGACGAGCAGAGACGAGAATTTGCAAGATTTATGACTCCCCTTGTTTACCCGAGAGCGAGTGCATGTTCGCTATCAATGGTATGTTCGAGATTTCCTCTGCACTTTTTCAAATCATATGACTAATCGATCGCAGAGGACGGCATTGGCGATCCAAACCCCAAAGATCTTGAAAATTAGACTTTTCATTTGCTGTATTATTATTATTATTATTTAGCCACCATTGCATTCCGCTTATAAGCTACATAGCTAGATATCTTTTCTTGTAATTTGCGGGATGGGAGGGGCTTTTTTTACTTCTTCAATCACGATTTTTCGATTTTCATAGCAATTGGCGTTTGTATGTTTTTCTACTCTTGTATAAATACAGGATGGTTGGGGTTTGGAATGGAGTCGTGATTGGATTTCGTCGAAATAACTGATATTGCTGGACATTACCCTTTCGAGATTTTGTGCATGTGTGATCATTGACTCCTGTTTGATTGGTGCGTTAAGGTCAGCTGACACTACTGAATGGCACTCCGCCCCCGTTACGGGGAAGAAGAGTTTGTTCTCCGGTTCTCTATAATATTTCTGTGGTGTTTTGTAAACAGCAATAGCCTGAATACGAAGCCCGCAGCCTCATTCGCCTGCTAGCCAGCGCAGTGCAGTGCGCAGTGCGCAGGGTGGGGCAGGGTAGAGTCTACGACGCCATACATTCGCCTCAATACCCCACGCTCTAATCCCTACAATGCCCACTACGCATAGTCCTCTCTTATTCTCTTATCTGTGTCGCAATATCCAAGCTGTAGATGAAGGCCATTCTACACCTAGCATGTACGCCCACCCGGAGACCGGCTCCACACGGCTCTCGAATCGACGGCTGCATGTAGTATCGAAGATAGGAAACAAGCCGTTAGATTACACCGCCAACGGTACAATCATCGATTGGGGAAAGGGGATTGTGCCTCTTCTAGATGTTTTAGAAGTTCATGCGCGCACCTTATTCGAGCTGTGCATACCGATTTTGTTGGGGGTTTGTGAGAAACTAGGTGGCAGTTCACATGATAAGAGGTATCGAAGTTGTGTGGTTTCTGATATAGTGGGAACAGTGGGGTGTTGACGCCGAACTACACATATATATTACTGGCTTGTAGGTAATCTGTGGCTGACTTGACTGGCCCGGTATGGAGGGGGTCATGCATGGGAGTTTCGTTTAGATTCTTGTTCTAACCTCTCGGTTCTTTAGCGGGGGAGGCATGTTTAGGGCTTCAAGATGAAGGGGGGATTGGGTGGGTGGGGGAGTTGGGTGGGGGGCGGGACTCCCACTGGTCCCAGGTCGTCCACCTCCACAAAAAACAGTTAGTCTAGCGCCGATGATAGGTGAGAGCTGCCAAGTCTCGGTATCGAGTGATATCCCATGAAGGACACCTTCGCGAGGCAGTGGTCACTTTCCTGGTTGGGCGATTGGAGACGCTCGTGTCGGGAAGGGTGGGATTGGATTTTCGGATAAGAAAAACGAGTCTAGAAGGTAGGAAGTGTTGATATGATTGGTTTACGGTGCGATCCTTCGCCCACCGCGCTGTGGATGTGCTAATTAATCATGAATTATCACTCGACTGAGTACTCTGTGACTTTTGGTTCGATCTTTATTCCTTTTGGGCAGTATGACTTGTGTAAGTGGTTATGGCTCATTAAAGTGAGCCGTGCTTCCGGTCTCTCCGGAGTAGGGAGCTTTCGGCACCCGTCCTTGGCAGCACTGGCCCGGATTTGAGTACGCTCGCTAAAGGGCAGAGGAAGGGATAGGAGGGGAAGGCGAAGGGGAAGGAAAATAAAAGTACAGAGAGGTATAGGGAGCTGGCTATTTCTGAGCTCATAGACCTAGCTATAGGCGCTATTACCGGACGCACAGTATTTATAATTAGTCCACCAACGCATTAACGACCAATGAATCGAATTGTTAAAACTCTTAGCAAGCTGTCATATAGAGGAGGCGAACTCTGCAACTCCCGTATCTCAGGAAGCTAAAGGCAACTTTGACTGGGTAATGAGATCGACGGCAAAGTTCGTAGATCTTGAAAAACTGGAATTTATATCGCTGGGATGTATATACGTATGGGTAGACCATCTATCATTGGCACGGATATACTTTTGGTCCTCCCCGCGTCCCTACTTTTTCCTCGTAACATTCTTCGCTCCAGTCGATCTAGTCCGCGATCCGTGGTATAGCGACTTGCGTCTCACCACTGGATTGAGTGTCCCATGATCGACTGTATACGACGTCCCTCTTACGATAACACCACCAGAGGAGAGCTGGTGCTAACCAGTAAGTAGATATAGTGATCTTCTTTTCCACCTCTGAGTCCCTTTGTCCCGTCCCTTTCATCTACATTACACACCACTCTTCCATTCTTTCATAGACATAGACCTATATGAGTACACGGGATATATATATTCTACCCTCTATGTTGAATTCAAACGCTCAGGTATCTAGACTTATAGTAGAACCAACAGATCCTGCTCAGTTTCTATTCTAGTTTATGACAAACTGACCTTCATTGAGAGAGTCTTACATAGTCTATGGCCCAGCGGTTTGTGTCTCATCACTGAAGAATTAACAATCCAATTCTGTGCACGATATCTCCCCCCACATACGTGCCAAACCGGTCATAGAAGGTCCTATGCTCTCTTTTGACCCAGTGGTATTTCTTCTCCTTGACGGGGTTGATAGATCTGATCGTCTGAGGTATATATGTACAGGGCTCACAGGGTTAGCATGGAAGATTACATCATGTGGTGGACCACGAACAATCGATACTTTAAAGGCAAACACCGTAGGCATGGCTTCCAATTCCATAGGGAAGGTGATGAGTCATGGAGGTATAACATCCAGTGTCGAATTGTCGATGACCAACTATTATATTGTTTATACTCCGTAGTCATCCTACCAGCCCTTCCTTTTCAAATACAACACAATACTCCTTGGGATTTCATGAGCTTTCTTCTAAATTTTCTTAGCGAGGTGCTCCGCATGGTCCGCTTCTAATCTTACATGAAGAGCATTCATCGATTACATGTAGTTCTGTCAGATTGAGACATTGAGACACCCTAGAGGAGCCCGTGATGGAACGAAGGGGTGGGGATCATGTTCCTAATTCCGAAAGATGCCTTCATTTCAATAGGGTAGTGAGCTATTTGAGTCATTCTACTCCCACCCTTACCTTACACCTCCACAGCAATGTTTACTGCTACCCTGTAGGAAGATGTCTTGTATCGGTATTCGAGTGATGATCTATGACCACAATAACTGCTAGGTTTATGAAATCC